GAAGGTTTACAATAGTTGATAATCCCTTTCATAAATCTATTTTAGAAGTAGCAAGGAAGGCTATATGTCATTGGTCATCCTTATCCTGATTATGCCTTTGAGCTGTCCTCCAGTTGCTCTGGAAAAAGGAGAAGAAAAATTATCTGCACATAAGATTGAAGCTAATACTGGGTATTATTTCATGGCTGTAAAAATTTCCCCATATCATTTGGTGAGGTTATTTTACCATGTGGTCTTTGTTCTACGTTTGGAGAGAAGACTTTGCTTTATTCCTCCAGTATATGCCCTGCCTCTGATTAGAAAAAGATAAACTTTTCTATACTGGGTTAATGACTCTTCTATAGAATCAAATCTCTAAGGAACCTTCTTTGATAGTAAACACTAGAAAATAGACACATCCAAAACTCATTTATTGCCTGGTTCCCTATACATTAGTCCAACAAATCTGTCAGAATAGCTAATCTCATTATTTGCAAGGCTTCGGACTGCAGTTTTCTAAGTAGACTCCGAGCGCCGCTGTTGGCCAATGCGCTGCAAGAACTGGAGTCCACGATCTACCTAAGTGGTTTTCTGCGCAGTCACGGAAGCAGTTCTGAAAGGAGATAAAGTCCAGTTTCGGGCTCTCTGCTCAGCAAATGATTTTGGAATATGGAATGGAATGCCTTGAAACAGAGTGTTGAGTTTTCTACGCGTTAGCAGTAAATATTTTAAACACAATTTGTAAAGCATCTTCTCGTTACATCTGAGGCTGCAGCAGTGAAGAAAAGGATGGGAACTAGGGCGAAGCAGAGGAGCCATACCGGGCAGCGGCAAGTACTCTTTCCCTTCCTGCTGCCTTTGTTCTGTGGGGGGCTCTGTGAGCAGATCCGCTACTCTATTCCTGAAGAAATGGCCAGGGGCTCAGTAGTAGGGAACCTTGCTGAAGACCTGGGGCTGCATGTACGGGATTTACTGAACCGCAACCTCAGAGTTAGTGCAGAGAAACAATACTTTACCATAAACAGGGAGAATGGCAACATACTTGTCAGTGACAGAATAGATAGGGAGTCGCTCTGTCCCCAAAGCACCCTGTGTGTTGTGCCCCTAGAGATCGTGGCAGAGAATCCTCTAAATGTTTTTCATATAACAGTGAGGATAGAAGATATAAATGACAATCCACCGTATTTCCCCCAAAATAGCATTGTTTTACAAATCAATGAACTTGCAATTCTAGGAACTCAGTTTGGTCTGGAATCTGCTATAGATGCAGATGTAGGACCTAACTCTCTCCAGAGTTACCAACTCAGCTATAATGAGTATTTCTCTCTGATGGTGAAGGATAAGATTGAAGGCAAGAATGCCCCAGAATTAATATTGGAGAAGCCCCTGGACCGGGAACACCAGAGCTCCCATTTTCTAGTCCTGACCGCAATGGATGGGGGTGACCCAGTCCGAAGTGGCACCATTCAAATCAGGATTGAGGTCACTGATGCCAACGATAACCCCCCAGTGTTCAGTCAGGATGTGTACAAAGTTAGCCTTCCAGAGAACTTGCCCTTGGGCACCTCTGTGCTCAAGGTGACAGCCATCGACCAGGATGAGGGCATCAATGCAGAGATCACCTACTCCTTCAAAACACTAAGAGATATTGGAAATATGTTTATGCTAGACCATCAAAATGGAGAAATTAAATCCAAAGGTCCTATAGACTTTGAAATTAGGAGTAGTTATACCATGAGCATAGAAGCCAAGGATGGTGGAGGCATGGCCACTGAATGTAAAATTATAATAGAAATTTTAGATGAGAATGACAATGCCCCAGAGGTTATTTTCACTTCAGTGTCTAATTCCATAACCGAGGGTGCAGAACACGGGATGGTGATTGCTCTGTTCAAAACACATGACAAAGATTCCGGCCAAAATGGAGAGGTCACATGCCTCATAAAAGAAACAGTTCCTTTCAGAATTGAATCTTCTGCCAATAATTACTACAAGCTTGTAACAGATGGGTCCTTGGACCGGGAGAAGACCCCTTCGTACAATGTCACTATCACAGCCACTGACAGGGGAAAGCCACCCCTTTCCTCCAGCTCAAGTATCACTCTGCACATCGAAGATGTCAACGACAATGCTCCAGTTTTTGAACAGGCTTTCTATTTGGTCCACATTGCCGAGAACAACCCTCCGGGTGCCTCCATCGCCCAAGTCAGCGCCTCGGACCCCGACCTGGGGCCCAACGGCCGCGTCTCCTACTCCATCGTGGCCAGCGACCTGGAGCCACGCGCGCTGGCGTCCTACGTGTCCGTGAGCGCGCAGAGCGGGGTGGTGTTCGCGCAGCGCGCCTTCGACCACGAGCAGCTGCGCGCCTTCGAGCTGACCCTGCAGGCGCGCGACCAGGGCTCGCCCGCGCTCCGCGCCAACGTGAGCCTGCGCGTGTTGGTGGGCGACCGCAACGACAACGCGCCCCGGGTGCTGTACCCGGCGCTGGGGCCCGACGGCTCGGCGCTCTTCGACACGGTGCCGCGCGCCGCGCAGCCCGGCTACCTGGTCACCAAGGTGGTGGCGGTGGACGCCGACTCGGGACACAATGCCTGGCTGTCGTACCACGTGCTGCAGGCCAGCGAGCCGGGACTCTTCAGCCTGGGGCTGCGCACGGGCGAGGTGCGCACGGCGCGCGCTTTGGGCGACAGGGACGCGGCCCGCCAGCGCCTGCTGGTCGCTGTGCGGGATGGGGGACAGCCGCCCCTCTCGGCCACAGCCACGCTGCTCCTGGTTTTCGCCGACAGCCTACAAGAAGTGCCGCCAGATGTCAGCGACCGCCCGGCGCCCTCTGACCCCCAGGCTGAGCTGCAGTTTTACCTGGTGGTGGCTTTGGCCCTGATCTCGGTGCTCTTCCTCCTCGCGGTGATTCTGGCGGTTGCCCTGCGCCTGGGACGCTCCTCCCACCCCGCTGCCTGGGGCTGCTTTCAGCCTGGTCTCTGTTATAAGACTGGACCAGGGGTTTCTCCCAACTACAACCCGGGAACTTTGCCTTATTCCTACAATATGTACGTTGCCTCTGATTCTCAGAAAGCAAGGCTTAATTTTCTCACTATGACGTCAGAAATGGGCCTCCAACAAGAACTCTCTAATGAAGCTTCTTTGGTAATAAGTTTCACTGAGGAGAATAACCAATTAAACTCTCACACTGATGCTTCTGCTCACGTGAGTGTCAATAAACAGGTTTGGTTTAATTTTCAAAATAGTTTGGCAAAAGAAGTCCTAAACAGATCCTATCTACTATCACTTCATTTGCTTACCCACTCTCAGTATTTTCTTTTCCTTTTTCTGTGGGCCAGTAACTTCATTATTAGCCCTCAAGTATTTTGAAATATTTTGACAATTTTACCTGAGATAGTCTTTATCCACGTACACACAACATCTCCTTTATGGTGACAAGTGGGTATTATGATGCTGTTGCCACAGAAATATTTGTAACTGAAGCATAAATGTTTTCTTTCTGTGGGTGTTTCTCAGAACATCAATATCTTGAGTATATAAGGCTTTTTCTTTATAACTACAAAGTGAGAGGAAAATGCACAAGAAGAGTTTTATTTTTTAAAGATTTTATTTATTTATTTGAGAGACAGAGAGAGCACTAGCTGGGGAGAGGGCAGAAGGAAAGGGAGAAACAGACTCCCCGTTGATCAGGGAGCCCAACTCAGGGCTCAATCCCAGGACCCTGGGATCATGACCTGAGCCGAAGGCAGATGCTTAACTCACTGAGCCACCCAGGCACCCTGACAAGTTTTATTTTTAAAGGACAGAGTAATATTTTGATAATACTCCATTACATTTGCTAGGGATTCTTTGAATCTCACTGAATAGGCCAATTTTATTCCCAGTCTTTTATCAGAACTACCTGTAGATTTCCTCCCAGTTTTAAAATATGTTGTGGTATGCCTGTCAAATATGCTTATCCTCAGAATCCAAACATTTACATTCATGAAAGCAGAATAGTGAGAATTTTTTCCTATATTTTGATGGGCTTTCAAATGTATTACCAGTCATTTTCAGTAAATGGAATTGGGTTTGTTACTCAGAAAAAGGTAAGCTTATAATATTCTTTGGATTGCTAATTTTCTCAAACATGATTTTGAAATATAATGTATTAGTAAGTTGTAAGGTACTACCCTTATTTCCAGTAAATGCAAGTTGAAATGCTTCAATTTTGTCCTAAAAATGTTAATGGGTCTTACTCACTTGACTTCTTGTCAGTGTGCTTCTGATAATGTATACAATTGCATTTCTTATTTTTAGATTTCCATATTGTTGTGAAATTTTGATTTCTAAATATTAAGTATTGACAACCTTTTAAAATAGCTCCTCTATTTAGGTATATTTAAAAATCTAAAAATCTGCCCCCTATTACAGCCACGTGAGAAAGTTTAATTTATTCTATTATATGATTTCTCAAAATAGGAAACGCCTAGGAAGATATCCCATAATAGGTATTTTTTTGGGGGTGGTGATATCAAATTAGGTGCACTAAAATTATACGGTTAAAATTACTTTGTATGGAAACTTCACATTCATTTAAAAGCTCATTGGAAAAACAGAATACAGCCACAGAAAATAATCTCAAGAAAGCGGCTCTGTATGAAAAATTTTTGAAAAATACAAAGAAGTTGACTGAAATTTCTATTAAAAGGAACACTGTAGTTTTTTAGTTGGCTCTACTTACATCCCTATTTGAAGAACAGTAGGTGGAGCTATTTAAGGTACAAAAACCAAAAATCCTTCCTGGAGTTCAAGATTGTGCAGTAATTGGTTAGGACTCTGAGCGCCACTGTTCACCAATCAGGGAGAGAAAAACAGAGATCCTGCTCGCCTCCTGCTTGCCCTGCAGGCGCCTGAAGCACAGCCCAGATAGAAACTAACCATCTCTGGCACTCTGAAGAAACTGCTGGATTCTGAAGACGGGGAAAACTGGTCCTGACTTCGGTGGTCTAGGGAAGAATTGGAAGTAATATCCTCCAGGAAAGTGACGATGATTCCTGAGCGACTGCATCAGGACTGCAAAGGGCTTGTCCTGCTGGGAGTTCTCCTGGGGGTTCTGTGGGAAACCGGATGCGCCCAAATTCACTATTCAGTTCCTGAGGAGCTGGAGAAAGGCTCTAGGGTGGGAAACATCGCCAAGGACCTGGGGTTGGAGCCCCAGGAACTAGAAGAGCGTGGAGTCCGTATAGTCTCCAGAGGTAGGACTCAACTTTTCGCTCTGAACCTTCGAAGCGGCAACCTAATCTCCGCAGGCAGAATAGACCGGGAAGAGCTCTGTATGGGCGTCTTAAAGTGTCAATTAAATCTGGAGATTCTGTTGGAGGATAAAGTAAAAATATACGGGGTAGTAGTAGAAGTGAGAGACATTAACGATAATGCCCCCTATTTCCGGGAAGATGAATTAGAAATAAAAGTGAGTGAAAACGCAGCCACTGGGTTGCGGTTCCCTCTTCCCCACGCTTGGGATCCGGATATCGGGAAGAACTCTCTCCAGAGCTATGGACTCAGTAGTAATACTCACTTCTCCCTGGACGTGCAAAGCGGAGCGGATGGTAACAAGTACCCAGAATTGGTTTTGGAGTGCGCCTTGGACCGGGAGCAGAAGGCTGTTCATCACCTTGTTCTCACCGCCTCCGACGGGGGTGACCCAGTCCGCACAGGCACCACGCGCATCCGTGTGATGGTAGTTGATGTGAATGACAACGCACCAGTATTTGCTCAGTCTGAGTACCGCGTGAGCGTTCCAGAGAATGTGGCCGTAGGCACTAAGCTGCTTCTGGTAAGTGCCACCGACCCTGACGAAGGAGCCAATGTGGAAGTGATGTATTCCTTCCGTTATGTGGACAACAAGGCAGCCCAAGTTTTCAAACTAGATGCTAATTTAGGGACAATTTCAACAATAGGGGAGCTGAACCACGAGGAATCAGAATTCTACGAGATGGAAGTGCAAGCAGTTGATAACGCAGGGTATTCTGCACGAGCCAAAGTCTTGATCACAGTATTGGATGTGAATGATAATGCCCCTGAAGTAGTTGTCATCTCTCTCTCCAGCTCCATTCTGGAAAACTCTCCCAGAGGGACATTAATTGCCCTTTTAAATGTAAATGATCAAGACTCTGGGGAAAATGGACAAGTGATCTGTTTCATCCGAGGGAATCTGCCATTTACATTAGAAAAGTCTTATGGAAATTACTATAGTTTAGTGACAGACACACTCCTAGACCGGGAACAGGTTCCTAGCTACAACATCACGGTGACCGCCAGTGACAGAGGAAGTCCGCCCCTGTCCACGGAAACTCCTATCTCACTGAAAGTAGCAGACACCAACGACAACCCGCCCGCCTTCTCTGACGCTTTCTACTCCGCCTATATCGTGGAGAACAACCCTAGAGGAGCCTCCCTAATGTCCGTGACCGCCTGTGACCCCGACTATGGAGTGAACGCCCAGGTCACTTACTCATTGGCCGAGGACAGCCTTCCCGGACCGCCCATATCCTCCTACATCTCCATCAACTCCAACACTGGCGTTCTGTATGCGCTGCGTTCCTTCGACTATGAGCAGTTCCAAGACTTGCATCTGCAAGTCACAGCGCAGGACAGCGGTGACCCTCCGCTCAGCAGCAACGTGTCTCTGAACTTGTTCCTGGTGGACCAAAATGACAACGCGCCAGAGATCCTGTACCCCGCCCTCCCCACCGATGGTTCCACAGGCGTGGAGCTGGCGCCCTGCTCCGCAGAGCCCGGCTACCTGGTCACCAAGGTGGTGGCGGTGGACAGAGACTCGGGCCAGAACGCCTGGCTGTCCTACCGCCTGCTCAAGGCGAGCGAGCCAGGGCTCTTCGCGGTGGGGCTGCACACGGGCGAGGTGCGCACGGCGCGGGCCCTGCTGGACAGAGACGCGCTCAAGCAGAGCCTGGTGGTGGCGGTGCAGGACCACGGCCAGCCCCCTCTCTCGGCCACCGTCACGCTCACCGTGGCCGTGGCCGACAACATCCCGGACGTCCTGGCCGACCTGGGCAGCATCAGGACCCCCGCCGACCCGGACGATTCGGACCTCACGCTGTATCTGGTGGTGGCGGTGGCGGCAGTCTCGTGCGTCTTCCTGGCCTTTGTCATCGTGCTGCTGGCGCTCAGGCTGAGGCGCTGGCACGCGTCGCGTCTGCTCCAGGCTTCCGGAGGCGGGCTGGTGGGCGTGCCGGCCTCGCACTTTGTGGGCGTGGACGGGGTGCGGGCTTTCCTGCAGACCTATTCCCACGAGGTCTCCCTGACCGCGGACTCGCGGGAGAGTCACGTGATCTTCCCCCAGCCCAACTACGCGGACACGCTCATCAGCCAGGAGAGCTGTGGGAAAAGCGAGCCTCTTTTACTGTCAGGTAGTTCAGCGTTCTCTAAAGATAATCATGCATTAATTCAGATGAGTACATATCAAATATTCTTCTCTGGGTTTTGAACAAAATATCTTAGTGTGGGTAGTGTGTATTTCGAATTTAGAAAGCAGACGCCAAAAATTTATATATGCGTGGTAGACACCAAGGACAACTTGGAGGCCTTCTCTCATGCCTTATTTATAACAATGTTTATGTATTTTATATATATATATAAATTTATAACCACTTTGGTACTTTTAAATACTCAATTTTTTCTAATTTAATTAACCAGGTGTACCTTCTTTTAATTGGTCTTTTTATTTACCTTTGGCCGCACAACATTTTTATGTTGAACATCTGATGTCAATTTATCCATTAAAACCCCAAATTCTTGTAGAGGGATTCACTCTAATTTATGAAAAGTATAAATGCAATTTCAAATAAACTTTTATGAGTAGAGGGGTCTCTAACTACACATGAAGTTGCTAACAAATTCATAAAGTGCATTTAGTTTCTTTTAAAGTGAAGTAATTGTGGTCATAGGGGTGCATACATTTATACTTTCTTAGGTCCTAAGTCATTTCATGGTTTCACATAATTCTTGAACTTCCAAATATACCGAGTTTATTTTCTACATACTTAAAACTTTGTCATTGAAATATGCAAACAGAGGTGCCCCACTGGCTTAGTGAGTAAGAGTAGCATGCTCTTGATCTGGGGTTGTAAGTTCAAGCCCCATGTTGGGTGTAGAGATTACCTAAAAGTAAAATCTTAAAAAAATATATGCAAACAGTGTAAGTGTTGTCATGAAGAAAAACTGAAGAGATTGTTTATTTTTTATCCCCACTGTAGATTTTTGGGAATTCAATGTATGTATGTGTTTCCAGGGGAGATATTTCTTTAGTTTACTCATACTGATGATCTTGATGATGACTTTGTGAAACAGTTAACAAATTGTGTTTTGAATGCATTTTTGGTAATGTGGTGCATTTGCAGTAGTCTCTCTTCTTACGTAAGTTTCCATAACTTTCACACATAGAAAAAACTATGGAAAGTGCTCAGAGTCTAAGTGTTTTTTGAGAACCTAATGCTTATTGTATAACGTTGAACCTAAATTGAATGCTAATTCATATTATTCTTGGGAAAGCATTGCTGGAACCTGTAAGAAGTTTGGATCTTTGGGTGAATTCTGTAAAGGGGTAGGGGATCATAGCATCCTTATTATTTTCTCTTTGTTACCAATCTCCTTTCAAAAATCCAGTAGTTCATATTTAGAATTATAAAAGAGATTAGAAATCATTTGAGAAAGAAAGGTAATTAAATAGCCCTAAAATGAAGCAGTTACTGCTAATGAATTGACATGTCACTTTATGTTTTTCGTGACAACCAGTATAAAAAAAAGAAAACATAGGATGGTTCTATTTGTCTGATTTTTAAAAAAGGAAGTTTTTAAGTCTACCTGAAATTTTGTATTGACATTAAGTTCCCATGGAACTCAATAAGTAGAGCTTTCTAAGTGATATCACTGGGAGTAGCGGGCAGTATGACCTCCTGTTTTGTAAAAACTATCAAAACGTTTATCACAAGGCCAGTTCTCACATGGTGGTCAATTCAAAATGAAAGACATAACACACAATAGAAATTATTTGGGAAACCTGCGATAGTTCAGTTATGCTGACTTCTGTTCACTTAACCTGATTTAGAGACAAATCATTAAGTTAGGGCAATGAACAATCATGACCCTTCAGCTGAATCTCAAGAATCAGTGATCTCAACTAATGCTTCCAGGTGAGCTAAATAGGCTTCATTAATTTGTTGAGTGAATGAACAAATGTGTGTGCTCTGGGGATTATCTGCTATTGGTATTCTCAGATGTAGTTTCATAGAAAAGTAGCAGCTTTGAAATGAGGTAACTACTCATTTTGTGACCTTTGACAACTTATATAGTGTCTATCAGCTTCAGCAAAATTGGGACAATAATATATAATTTGAAAGATTGTGGTGAGGACTAGTGATAACATAAACCACCTGGTTCATAATAGGTAATTAATGGTAGCCATTTTTTTACATTGTTGATATAAAAAGCTTTTACTGTCAGCACACTTGACATTCTGTTGTGAAAAGTAATAATGATTTGTGTGTTCTCGTTGTCTAACGGGTTGACCTGTGAGTGGAAGTAAAACTATTCTAAAGTTTTTATGAAAGCTAATTTAAAAAGTTTAGGGGCGCCTGGGTGGCTCAGTCAGTTAAGTGTTTGCCTTTGGCTCAGGTCATGGTCCCGGGGTCCTGGGATCGAGCCCCACATTGCATTCCCTGCTCAGTAGGGGAGTCTGCTTCTCCCTCTCCCTCCGCCCCTGCTCATGTGCTCTTTCACTCACTGTCTCTTAAATAAATAATCTTTAAAAAAAACAAGTGCTTAAGTATTCTTTTTTAAACTTGTTTAAAAATTGAATTATAATTGACGCACAATATTATATTAGTTTCAGGTGCATGACAGCGATTCAGTATTTTTTAAAAATATTTTGTTTATTTATTTTAGAGAGCACGTGAGCAACGGAGGAGCAGAAGGAGAGGGAGGCAATCTCTAGTGGGCAGACTCTGCACTGAGTGCAGAGCCCATGACTCTAAGATCATGAGCTGAGCCAAAATCAAGAGTTGGGCACTCACCCACCTGAGCCACCCAGGTGCCCCTCAGTATTTTTATATATTATGAAATGATCACCTCGATAGGTCTAGTTACTATCTGTTACTCTACAGAGTCATTATAGTATTATTGACTGTATTCTCTTTGCTGTATGTTACATCCCCATGACTTATTTTATAACTGGCTTGTATCAGTTGATCCCCTTCCCCTAGGGGGATTAGGTGATGGATGATTTATAAACAGCAGAAATGTATTGCTTACTGTTTTGAAGGCTGGAATTCTGAGATAAGGGTGCCAGGATGGTCAGGTGAGGGTTTTCTTATAGATCACAGACTTTTGGCTGTGTCCTCACATGGCAGAAGGGGCAAAGGATCTCCCTAGGCACATTATTGGTTGAGAAGCCTCTGTTTGGGGTCATAAAAGATGGAGGAACCATTGTTTTGGATGGGAGAGTTTTTGAGTGTTAATTTTTCTCTCTTTTTTTTTTAAAGGTTTATAATGACATGGGACATTTTTTTTTTAAAGATTTTATTTATTTATTTGAGAGAGAGAGAGAGAAACATCACGAGAGGGGAGAGGGTCAGAGGGAGAAGCAGGCTCCCCACTGAGCCGGGAGCCCGACGCGGGATTCGATCCCGGGACTCCAGGATCATGACCTGAGCCGAAGGCAGTCGCTTAACCAACTGAGCCACCCAGGCGCCCAACATGGGACATTTTTAAAAAAGATTTCATGTATTTATTTGAGAGAGAGAGAGCACAAGCAGGGTGAGGGGCAGAGGGAGAAGCAGACTCCCCGCTGAGTAGGGAACCTGCTGCAGAGCTCGATGCTAGAGATGCTAGAACTCCGAGATCATGACCTAAGCCGAAGGCAGACACTTAACCGACCGAGCCACCCAGGCGCCCCAGTTTTTCTCTTTCTGAACCATAGCAAAACCTAAACAAGTGTCCTGTGAAATTTCTTTTTTCTTTTTTCTTTTTTTTTTATTCATGAGAGACAGAGCGGGAGAGAAAGGCAGAGGGAGAAGCAGGCTCCCAAGGAGCAGGGAGCCTGATGCGGGACTTGATCCCAGGACCCTGAGATCATGACCTGAGCCGAAGGCAGACGCTTAACCATCTGAGCCACCCAGGCGCCCCCCTGTGAAATTTCTTATTTAAAGGACCTATTTATTCCATTAGGATTGCTAGGATGATTTAACTGGAGAATGGATCATCAAAACCTGAAAGCTGGAGTTATTTGGTTTTGGTCACATGAGAGTTTAAGCTAACATAATGTATTGTTTTTAAGATTTTTATTTATTTATTTCTTTGAGAGAGAGAAAGTGCACAAGCAGAGGGAGAGGGAGAAGCAGACTCCCCACTGAGTGGGGAGCCCGATGTGGATCTCAATCCAGGACCCCAGGATCATGACCTGAGCCACCCAAGCACCCCTAACATAATGTATTTAATGTAAGATGTCAATCTTAGCTTTAGGATAATTTGTTGACAATTTGGGACTGATAATTAGGATATTTGTTGATTTTTTTTTTTTTTTTAGAGTAACCAGGCAGTGGATTTGGATGTTTATTTTTGTGCTGGTTCCAGTAATGAAATTACGTCAAGAATTTGGCTTGTCTTCCTATGTGTTAAGAATGGTGGGTTTTCGTTCACTTAGTCTAATAAGTTGAAGTGTTCATCTATAATTTAAAAGTTGCAGCTTCACTATTTCATAGAACCTAAAGTTGAAATGTAATCTATCAACATTCTTCCCCCACATCCATTCTAGAAGAGATATTAGGCTGTTTGAAGCAGAAATAGGCTAGGATCCTTGGTGAGACTGTACAACTAGTTGATACTGTGCAACCCATAGATCATTTTGTTTCATTTTATTTAAAATTTTTTTTTTATTTGTTAGAGCACAAGCTGGGGGAGCAGCAGGCAGAGGGAGAAGCAGGCTCCCTGCTGAACAAGGAGCCCGATGTGGGACTCAATCCCAGGGCCCTGGGATCATGACCTGAGCTGAAGGCAGACGCTCAACCGACTGAACCATCCAGGCATCCTCTCAGAGATCATTTTAAGCTGAATTAGAAGGCTAATGATAAATGAATGGGCTGTATCAGTTTTCTCAGTTACATGTGACAGTATAGTTGTGATCATGAATTGAATTTTTCTGGTGAAAAATCTGCTTTTTCTTCATGCAAGATACCAAGTCCAAAAAATTAAACACATCCACGTTAAATATGTGTAGTTCTTTGTGTATCAACTATACCTCAATAAAACTACTTTTAAAAATTTTAAAGCAAACAGTGTGAAGGGATATTGATCAAAGTAGTGAGTGTATATATTAGGAAAGAGACAGATTTACTCTCCTGAGTTAAACTTAAGAGTTCATTGGGGCACCTGGGTGGCTCAGTTGGTTAAGCGACTGCCTTCGGCTCAGGTCATGACCCTGGAGTCCTGGGATCAAGTCCCACATCGGGCTCCCTGCTCGGCAGGGAGTCTGCTTCTCCCTCTGACCCTCCCCCCTCTCATGCTCTCTCTCTCTATCTCATTCTCTCTCTCAAATAAATAAATAAAATCTTAAAAAAAAAACTTAAGAGTTCATTTTTAGGAAACCATATCTACTGAAAAGTTATCAATAAAAGAATGTACTGTTTAGGATTCTTAAAATACTAATAGGAAAAGATAGCCTATGGCAAAGGTAATTGAAAAAAACCTTTGATAGAGGATGAGTTTCCTTGATACCAAATGGGAAGAGTTCTGGTTCAAGAAGATGCGAAGAAATTGTCATCAGATCAACTATAGACTCAAGATAATTTATATGTAAAAGAAATCAGTACTTCTGCAGTTTCTCTTAGAGAAGCCATAAAAAGATCTATGTATAATGTCATTAATGACAAGTATAATTTCTTAGTTCATCTTTAAGTCTCTGAAATGTTTCATACAATGATTTATACCCCTTCTAAATATTCAGTAAAAGGCTTCAGTTCAGTAATTAGAAAACGGTCTCTTACATAGATCAATGGAACAGAATAGAAAACCCAGAAATGGACCCACAACTATATGGTCAACTCATCTTCAACAAAGCGGGATAGAATATCCAATGGAAAAAAGAGAGTCTCCGCAATAAATGGTGTTGTGAAAACTGGACAACAACATGCAGAAGACTGAAACTGGACCACTTTCTTACACCATTCACAGAAATAAATTCAAAATGGATGAAACACCTAAATATAAGACAGGAAACCATCAAAATCCTAGAGGAGAACACAGGCAGCGACCCCTTTGACCTCAGCCGCAGCAACTTCTTACTAGACATATAGCCGGAGGCAAGGGAAATAAAAGCAAAAATGAACTATTGGGACCTCATCAAAATAAAAAGCTTCTGAAGGAAACAATTTACAAAACTAAAAGGCAACCAATGTAATGAGAGAAGATATTTGCAAATGACGTATCAGATAAAGGGCTAATATCCAGAATCTATAAAGAACTTATCAAGCTCAATACCCCAAAAAACAAATAATCCAGTTAAGAAATGGGCAGAAGACATGAACAGACATCTGGAAAGAAGACATCCAGATGTGCTAACAGACACATGAAAATATGCTCAATGTTACTCATCAGGGAAATACAAATCAAAACCACAGTGAGATACCACCTCACACAGGAAACAGGATGGTGGTGAGGATGTGGAGAAAGGGGAACCCTCTTATACTGTTGGTAGGAATGCAAACTGGTGCAGCCACTCTGGAAAACAGTATGGAGGGTCCTCAAAAAGTTAAAAATAGAACTTCTCTATGGTCCAGCAATGACACTACTAGGTATTTACCCAAAGGATACAAAAATAAATAGTTGCCTTAAACATACGCTTTTCATATTGTGTAACTTCTTAGAGGCTTTCTGTATATTTGTGGCTGAAGATCCAGCCAGTAATTCATCCTGAGACTGTTATTTGGAAAAAATAAAGCTTCCATATAAAAAAATTTTTTTAAAGAGACAGCCTAAAAATTATCTTAAGTATCAAGAAACTATAAAAAGAAGTCATCACTTTGACCTCGTATGGTGGAGTCACTGAGAATATGAATTCCCAGGAATATTTAATTGGATAAATAAGGCTGTACTACTACTACCTTTCAGCCTATAAATTCCATTGAGAAACATCTTTCTCTTTGTTCTCAACTCTCCAGAACATTGAGCTTTCATTACTTCAGGCTGCAGTGCTAAGGCAGGGACTCAGAGCACTGCTGTGAGTCAATGTGGAAATAGAGATTAACAAGGAGATCTGTGAAGGTTCCTGCTGGGTGACTTTCCCCACGGGACCTTGCCAAAGATATGGGGCTAGGTGTCCAGGACTTGCTTGTTCAGAAGCTGTGGATTAACGTGGAAAAAGAATAGTTCAGTCTGAGTGAAGAAAGTAGACACTTAACTTGTAACAGGATGGACCTGGAACATAAAAGACCATATACCATAGTTTGTATCAAATGTTTAGAAATGGTAGTTGAAAAGCCTTTAAATGCTTTCCACCCTAATATAGATGTGCAAGGTGCCAATGATAATACTCCCCAGTTCATCAGGAGTGTTACTGACTCAAATATGTGAACTGACCCAGCTTGGGGCAAGATCCGTAATAGAACCTACGGAAGATACTGATGTTGGAAGCTATTCCTTTACAAAATTGCCACCTTAGCAGCAACACTTTGTCTTTGAAGTAACAGACCAACAGTGGAAACAAATATGTTGAGCCTGTGTTAGAGAAGCCACTGGACTAGGAAAAGCAAAACTCATGTGGCTTAGTCCTGATAACCTTAGATGACAAAGACGGTCCTGAAGCAGCACTGCTCAGATCCCCACCCTGGCAGTTGATGCAGTTATACCCCCCTCCTCAGTTTCAGCCAGAATGTGTCTGGACTCAGCCTTTTAGAAGACATGCCTCTGGGCACCTCCATGGTGAGGGTGAGGGCCACTGACCCATATGAGAATAGCCGTGTGGATATCAGATATGTCTTTGCTTCCCAGAGTACCAGTTTAATCTTGATCACAATCGTAGTGAGATGAAAACTTTAAGTACATTGGGCTATGATGAGATTAAAACATGCTCCATGGTTTGGGAAGCAAGGAATGGTGGAAGGGGAGGACTGATTGCCTAGTGTAGTTGAGATCAAAATTCTGGATGATAATGACAAAATACCAGAGCTGATTTTTACTTCTTTTTCCACAATGATTTCTGAAGATTCTGCACCTTAAAAAGTAATGACTCTGTTTAAAACACAGGATCCAGGGCACCTGGGTGGCTCAGTTGGTTAAGCGACTGCCTTCGGCTCAGGTCAGGATCCCGGAGTCCTGGGATCGAGTCCCACATCGGGCTCCCGCCTCAGCGGGGAGCCTGCTTCTCCCTCTGACCCTCTCCCCTCTCATGCTGTTTCTCTGTCTCTCTCTCTTTCTCTCAAATAAATAAATAAATAAAATCTTTAAACAAACAAACAAACAAACAAAAAACCCACAGGATCCAGATTTGGCAGAAGAAGGGAGGTCACGTGTCTGGTACAGATTCAGAATTGAATCTTCTACCGATAATTACTACATGCTTGCAACAGATGGGGCCCTGGACTGGGAGCCGACCCTAGGGTCCAATGTTACCATCATGGCCACAGACAGAAACAAGTCACTTCTCTCCTCCAGCAGAAATACCACCCTACACGTTGGTGACATCAACAACAGGCCAGTTTTCCACCAGGCCTCCTGGTGGTCCACATGGCCAAGAATAGCCCTCCCAGAACCTCCATTGCCCAAGTCTGCACCTCAGATCCTGACCTGGGACCCAACAGCAGTATCTCTTACTCCTTTGTGGCCAATTTTTGTACTTTAAATGAATTGGAGGTAGCACAGAATGCTGGATAGGGACAGTTCCTAGTAATCAGGTGGATCCGAATAATGTTAGCATAGCATTTCACTCAACTTACAGTTTACAAACCCTTGAAAAATTATATAATAACATTTGCATATAAAATTCCCTGTTATGTATCACTGTCAGTGGTTAGATTGCAGTCTAAAATATAACAGGGAAATATAAATATATAATATAAAATTATATAAATATAAAATATAAAAAGGAAAAGGAAATATTAACTGTTGGAAAGTACATATAGGTAAAGTGGGTAATAAGGAAGCTGTAAAGAGTGAAAGGAAAATTACTCGTAAGTCAAGATAAAGAATATTAGTAAGATGTATAAAATAGTGTCTGATTGGTTACGGTAGGAATAATTTATTTTTGACGGTAGGATTCCTTATTGGTGTGGATTCTGTTGTCTAAGCTATGTTAATTTTATTGTAAATGCACCTGGCTGTTGGTCTCTAAAAGGAATTCAGGATATTAGATAATTTGGCATCTTCAACCCAGATTCCATTGTTCACCCAAAGAGTTTGCTAATGCTTGGAAACCAAGAAAAGTCAAGCATCTCAACAACTATGTGTCACTTGCATATATTGGCTTTATCTTGTGTAGTATTTTCTCTAACAGTGTGTTAAGGAAGGCCCTGAATATTCCTGGTGAGCAAAGGGCACTTATTTGACATCTATTGATTCTTCTATTTGCCTTGTTTTAAACTGATTTTTGCATGTTATATGAGGTAACAAATCAATGAGGTAGGAGTCAAGGTTCTTTTTCCCCATATGATGCCCAGTTTCTCCAACATCATTTGTTGAAAGGATGTTCATTTTCCTGTTGAATTGATTTGGCACCCTTGTTGAAAATCATTTGATACAAATAGGTCTATTTCTCAACTCCCTGTCATGTGCCATGGATCTTTTTGTCCTTTTGCCACAACCACACTGTCTAGATTATTGTAGCTTTATAGTAAGTCTTGAAGTCAGGTAGGTAAATCTTCCATCCTTTTTCTTGTTTTCACATTGTTTTGACTATTCATGATCCTATCTCTTTCCAAATAAAATTCATTTTCTCACTTTCCAGAGAGAGAGAAAAAGCCTGCAAGGGGTTTGAATGGGATTGACCAAATCTATAAATCTTTTGGGAGAGAGGTCATTTGAACAATATTGAGACTTACAGCATATGGGAATGGTATTATATTTCCATGTATTTTAGATCTTTAACTTCTCTTAGCAATGTTTCAGAGTTTTTAGTGTAGAGGTCTTGTATATCTTCCATTAAATTATTCCTATGTATTTTATGGTTTTGGATATTATTGTAAAATGTATTTTAATTTAATTTTATGATTGTTGCTGGCTTACAGAAAAACTTGATTTTTGTATACTTCATATGGTTTTGAAAAACAGGAAGTGTGGTGCACTCTAGTCTCATACTATGTGAGAATATAATGTAAAAGAGTATAGTATAAGCTTAAGCCACCTCCACTTAAGTTCAGGCATCCATTCTCTGAAATATATAGGTTGGAAGAGCCCATCCAAAAACAAAGTAAACACTAGTGTCTTCCCCAAGTCTAGCAGTGGTTGGATCATTCATTCATTTATATAACAAATATTATTAAGTGCCTGCTACATGCAAAACACTGTCCTAAGTTCCAAGTATGCACCAATGAACAAGGCAAATGCGATTCCTGACTTAATGGGTCCCTTTCTAAGGTATGGTCTTTAAGAAGTCTGATAAATACCTCCAAAGAGAAAAACAAAGATGCTAAGAGAGCTTATAATAGGGAGGCCTCCCCTAGTCTGGGAGGGTCAGGGAGAAGTTCTTTCAGGAAGTTATAAATTTAACATGAGATCTGAAAGATGAGTAGAAGTTAGGTAGGTAACAAGGAGAATAAAGGAGAAATTGGTGGAGCAAATAGTGGTGTGAAAGTCCTTTAAGAAAAGGTGAGCAATTGAAAAAGTCTAGGGAGGCTAAAAATGTTAAATAAGTAGATGAGGTACATCTATTACAAGGCAGAGTCCTGTAAACCATATTAAAGATTCTGGATTTTATTCTAAGTACTTTCATATTTAGGAGTTTTTGAATGGTTTTAAACAAGGCAGTGACAAAATATGTTTTGAATTTTTAAAAGCTGTCTCTGGTTTCCTGTGTGGCAAATTGATTTCTGAGGGTAATAAATGGAAGTAGGGAGAACAGATGGGAGACTATGGCAATGTTCCTGATAAGAAATGGTGCTGGATGGGGTGCCTGGGTGGCTCAGTCATTAAGTATCTGCCTTCGGCTCAGGTCATGATCCCAGGGTCCTGGGATCCAGCCCCACATTGGGCTCCCTGCTTGGTGGGAAGCCTGCTTCTCCCTCTCCCACTCTCCCTGCTTGTGTTTCTGCTCTCACCATCTCTCTGTCTGTCAAATAAATAAAACCTTAAAAAAAATTGTGCTGGATTGGATTAAAGGGAAGGTAGTGGATGTAGAAACAAATGGATGGATTGGAGATATATTTAAGAAATAGATACAACAAGACAGTAGTGGAATGGAGGAATGTAAACTCTTTAAGGTCAGGGACTATTTTCTTTATTACATTATTCAGTGTCTGGAAAAATCATTGCCTGGCCGCTGGTAGATTCACAATTAAATATTGTTGACTGAATAAATACAGTGGATGAAAGAGGGGGAGGATTAAGAATCATTTCCAGATTTGTGAATTAAGGAACTGGATGGACAAAGGTACCATTTGTGAGTTGTGGAAGACTAGTGAAGGATAGATCACAGAGAAATTAGGAGTTGTGAAGTTATTTGAGATTCTGTGAAATATCCAAGTGCAGATACTAAGAGTGTGGTTGGACATAATGGTAACCATTCTTTTACTCTGATTCCTTCCATTGTGATAATCCATTCAGGTGGGTAGATCCTTACCAGGCTGAGCATGATAAGCTTCCTGACAGCTCTATACTGGTATGTTCTGGGACTCATCATAGTGCTACCCCTGTGCTTTATTTTTCTTCCTGATCACTTTTTCATTATTAGAGATATCTGTTACCCAGAGAACCTCAGTGTTTAATTCATGTCCACCCTACTTTTCAGACTAGTTCCGGTGCCAAGTTCTTTCTGCCTCTGGAATTGTGTTTGGATTATAATTTACCAGGCTGTTTTATTGTTGCTTAATTTTCTTGGTTGTATATTTTTCATGCTAATTTTTAAGCCTAGTATTTTTTTCACCATCTATTGTTGGCTTACAAACAGCAAAATTTCAGATAAGGAACGTTTGGGATAAGGATGCATAGCAATAATAATAAAATCATTGGATTTTAATATTACTGATACACTTGGAAGAAATACCCACACGTACCTTAGGCATCCTTTACATTCCTTAGTAACCATGTTTAAAAGATAATATTTTTTTTTCTGTGACTTTCATCTGACATATATTTGCTGCTTCCTCACTGTGTTCTCTTTCTCTCCCTAACAAGAATATAAGCTCCTTCATGGCAAGGATTTATTTTTTTCTATGCTATATTTTTAAGGCCTGTAACAGTGCTTGACTTTGTTAAGCTCTAAATGAATATTTCCTGAATAAATTAATGGTAATTAAGCATTTTAAGTTGAAACCAACAGTGTTGATGATGGTTGAACTTCTTCTCCCCCTAAGGGGATAGAAATTTTCCATATTTTGATAGAGGTATGATTATATGGGTATATACATTTGTCCAAACTCATTGAACTCAAGATCCTTGCTGTTCACTGTACATAAACTATACTTTAATTTAAAAAGAGAAAACAAATAAAACATCAGATTCCCCCCACCTACTCTTGCCTCCATACTCACCCCCAAGAGGTCACTACTGTTAATATCTGATTATGTATACTTCCAGGCACTTTTTGTATATGTAGGTATGTGTGTGTGTTTTTGAGTAACAGGGATCATTTTATAGAAAGTATACTGTTCTGCAACTTGCTTTTCCCAATTAATAATATTTCTGATGCCTTTTGAGTACTTTTAGGTCTGCCATCTACCACAATCTTAATAATTTTCCTTTATTTTGTGATAAGAAACACATTTACATGGTTCAAAAATCAAAAGGATGTATAATAGGTATATATTGTCTTATTCCAATTCCTGACTTATTCTTCTACCCCTGTTTCCTCCTGCACCCATACATTTTATTAGTTTCTTAAGTATCCTTTCAGCATTTCTTTATACAGATAGGGGGCAAGTATGGACACATATTTTTTCCACGTTTCTTGCAAAAAAGATATACTGTTCTCTATCTTGAGTTCATGACTCCACAATATATCCTTTAAAAATCTTTCCATATTAATACATAAGAGAGTTTTTTTTTTTAACAGCTGCTTGGTATTCCATTGTGCTATTTATCAGTATCCTGGTAAATAAATTCGTACTTGGGATGTTTCTAGTCTTTGAGTATCACAAACAATTGCATTGAATAGTCTTGTACTTATATTATTTTGTGCATGTGCAGTATATATGTGGGATGAATTCCCAAAAGTAGAATTGCTGGGTTAAAGAGTAGATAGGTTTATAATGTTTATAGGTGCCTTCACAGCAAGTTTTCTCTTTTTTTTTTTTTGCATTTTTTTATTATTAACATATAATGTATTATTTGTTTGAGGGGTACAGGTCTGTGATTCATCAGTCTTACACAATACACAGCACTCACCACAACACATACCCTCCCCAACGTCCATCACCCAGCCACCCCATCCCTCCCACTCCCCTCCACTCCAGCAACCCTCAGTTTCCTGAGATTAAGAGTCTCTTATGGTTTGTCTCCCTCTCTGGTTTTGTCTTGTTTCATTTTTTTCCTCTCTTCCCCTATGATCCTCTTCAAATTCCACATATCAGTGAGATCATATGATAATTATCTTTCTCTGATTGACTTATTTAGCTTAGCATAATACCCTTTAGTTCCATCCACATCATTGCAAATGGCAAGATTTCATTTTTTTGATGGCTGCATAGTGGACATCTGGGCTCTTTCCATAGTTCGGCTATTATGGACATTGATCCTATAAACATTGGAGTGCAGGTGCCTCTTGGGTTTACTACATTTGTATCTTTGGAGTAAATACCCAGTAATACAATTGCTGGGTTATGGGTAGCTCTATTTTCAACTTTTTGAGGAACCTCCATACTGTTTTCCAGAGTGGCTGCACCAGCTTGCATTCCTACCAACAGTGTAGGAGGGTTCCCCTTCCTCCACATCCTCGCCAACATCTGTCATTTCCTGACTTGTTAATTTTACCCATTCTTACTAGTATGAGGTGGTATCTCATTGAGGTTTTGATTTGTATTTCCCTGATGCCGAGCAACGTTGAGCACTTTTTCATGTGTCTGTTGACCATTTGGATGTCTTCTTCGCAGAAATGTATCTTCATGTCTTCTGCCCATTTCTTGAGTGGATTATTTATTCCTTGGGTGTTGAGTTTGATAAGTTCTTTATAGATTTTGGATACTAGCCCTTTATCTGATATGATATTTACAAATATCTTCTCCCATTCTGTTCGTTGTCTTTTGGTTTTGTTGACTGTTTCCTTTGCTGTGCAAAAGCTTTTTATCTTGATGAAGTCCCCATAGTTCATTTTGCCCTTGCTTCCCTTGCCTTTGGCGATGTGTCTAGGAAGAAGTTGTTGTGGCTGAGGTTGAAGAGATTGCTGCCTCTGTTCTCCTCAAGGATTTTGATGGATTCCTGTCTCACATTTAGGTCTTTCATCCATTTTGAGTCTATTTTTGTGTGTGGTGTAAGGAAATGGTCCAGTTTCATTCTTCTGCATGTGGCTGTCCAATTTTCCCAACACCATTTGTTGGAGACTGTCTTTTTTCCATTGGACATTCTTTCCTGCTTTGTCAAAGATTAGTTGACCATAGAGTTGAGGTCCATATCTGGGCTCTCTATTCTGTTCCATTGATCTCTGTGTCTGTTTTTGTGCCAGTACCATACTGTCTTGATGATGACAGCTTTGTAATAGAGCTTGAAGTCCAGAATTGTGATGCCACTAGCTTTGGTTTTCTTTTTCAACATTCCTCTGGCTTTTCGGGGTCTTTTCTGGTTCCATACAAATTTTAGGATTATTTGTTCCAGTTCTGTGAAAAAAGTTGATGGTATTTTGATAGAGATTGCATTAAATGTGTAGATTGCTCTAGGTAGCATTGACATTTTAACAATATTTGTTCTTCCAATCCATGAGCATGGAAGGTTTTTCATTTCTTTGTGTCTTCCTCAATTTCTTTTGTGAGTATTTTATAGTTTTCTGAGTACAGATCCTTTGCCTCTTTGGTAGATTTATTCCTAGGTATCTTACGGTTTTGGGTGCAATTGTAAATGGGATCAACTCCTTAATTTCTCTTTCTTCTGTCTCGTTGTTGGTGTATAGAAATGCAAATGATTTCTGTGCATTGATTTTATATCCTGCTACTTTACTGAATTCCTGTATGAGTTCTAGCAGTTTTGGGGTGGAGTCTTTTGGGTCTTCCACATAAAGTATCATATCATCTGCAGAGAGTGAGAGTTTGACTTCTTTGCTGATTCAGATGCCTTTTATTTCTTTTTGTTGTCTGATTGCTGAGGCTAGGACTTCTCGTACTATGTTGAACAGCAGTGGTGATAGTGGACATCCCTACTGTGTTCCTGACCTTAAGGGAAAAACTCTCAGTTTTTCCCCATTGAGAATGAGATTCACTGTGGGTTTTTCATAGATGGCTTTTATGATACTGAGGTATGTACCCTCTATCCCTACACTGTGAAGAGTTTTAATCAAGAAAGGATGCTGTACTTTGTCAAATGCTTTTTCTGCATCTCTATTGAGAGTATTATATGGCTTTTGTCCTTTCTTTTATTAATGTAGTGTATCACATTGATTGATTTGTGGACGTTGAACCAACCTTGCAGCCCAGGAATAAATCCCACTTAGTCATGGTGGATAATCCTTTTAATGTACTATTGGATCCTGTTGGCTAGTATTTTGGTGAGAATTTATGTGTCCATGTTCATCAGGAATATTGGTCTGTAATTCTCCTTTTTGGTGGGGTCTTTGCCTGGTTTTGGGATGAGGGTAATGCTGGTCTCATAAAATGAATTTGGAAGATTTCCTTCCATTTCTATTTTTTGGAAAAGTTTCAGAAGACTAGGTATTAATTCTTCTTTAAATGTTTGGTAGAATTCCCCTGGGAAGCCATCTGGCCCTGGGCTCTTGTTTGTTGGGAGATTTTTGATTACTGCTTCAATTTCCTTGCTGGTTATGGGTCTGTTCAGGTTTTCTCTTTCTTCCTGTTTCAGTTTTGGTAGTTTATATGTCTCTAGGAATGAATCCATTTCTTCCAGATTGTCTAATTTGTTGGCATAAAGTTGCTCATAATATGTTCTTATAATTATTTGTATTTCTTCAGTGTTGGTTGTGATCTCTCCTCTTTCATTCATGATTTTATTTATTTGGATCCTTTCTCTTTCCTTTTTTTTTTTTTTTTAAGATTTTATTTATTTGCGAGAGAGAGAATGAGAGACAGAGAGCGTGAGAGGTAGGAGGGTCAGAGGGAGAAGCAGACTCCCCGCCGAGCAGGGAGCCCGATGCGGGACTCGATCCCGGGACTCCAGGATCATGACCTGAGCCGAAGGCAGTCGCTCAACCAACTGAGCCACCCAGGCGCCCCCCCCTTTTTTTTTTTTAAAGACATTTATTTATTTGAGAGAGAGAGAATGAGAGGGGGAGGATCAGAGGGAGAAGCAGACCCATGCTGAGCAGGGAGCCCGATGCGGGACTCGATCCTGGGACTCCAGGATCATGACCCGAGCCAAAGGCAGTCACTTAACCAACTGAGCCACCAGGCACCCCTCTTTTCTCTTCTCTTTTTGATAAGTCTGGCCAGAGGTTTATCAATCTTATTAATTCTTTCAAAGAACCAGCTCCTAGTTTTGTTGATCTGTTCTGCTGTTCTTTTGGTTTCTATTTCATTGATTTCTCCTCTAATCTTTATAATTTCTCTTCTCCCGCTGGGTTTAGGCTTTATTTGCTGTTCCTTCTCCAGCTCCTTTAGGTGTAGGGTTAGGTTGTGTGTTTGAGACCGTTCTTGTTTCTTGAGAAAGGCTTGTATTACTATGTACTTTCCTCTTAGGACTGCCCTTGCTGCATCCCAAAGATTTTGAACAGTTGTGTTTTCATTTTCATTTGTGTCCATGAATTTTTAAATTCTTCTTTAATTTCCTGGTTGACCCATTCATTCTTTAATAGGATGCTCTTTAGCTTCCATGTATTTGAGTTCTTTCCAACTTTCCTCTTGTGATTGAATTCAAGTTTCAAAGCATTGTGGTCCGAAAATATGCAGGGAATGATGCTGATCTTTTCATACTGGTTGAGACCTGATTTTTGACCCAGGATGTGATCTATTCTGGGGAATGTTCCATGTCCCTAGAGAAGAATGTGTATTCTGTTGTTTTGGGATGGGATGTTCTGAATATATCTGTGAAGTCCATCTGGTCCAGTGTGTCAGTTAAAGCCCTTATTTCTTTGTTGATCTTTTGCTTAGATGATCTGTTCATTTCAGTGAGGGGGATGTTAAAGTCCCCTAGTATTATTGTATTATTGTCCATGTGTTTCTTTGATTTTGTTACTAATTGCCTTATATAATTTGCTGCTCCCATATTAGGGGAATAAATATTTACAGTTGTTAGATCTTCTTGTTGGATAGACCCTTTAAGTATGATATAGTGTCCTTCCTCCTCTCTTACTACAGTCTTTGGTTTAAAATCTAATTTGTCTGATATAAGAATTGCCACTCCAGCTTTCTTTTGATGTCCATTAGCATGATAAATGGTTTTCCACCCCCTCACTTTAAATCTGGAGGTGTCCTTGGGTCTAAAATGGGTCTCTTGCAGACAGTATATTGATGGGTCTTGCTTTTTTATCCAATCTGATACCTGTGTCTTTTGATTGGGGGCATTTGGTCCATTTACATTCAGGGTAGCTATTGAAAGATATGAATTTAGTGCCATTGTATTGCCTGGAAGGTGGCTGTTACTGTATATTGTCTCTGTTCCTTTCCAGTCTATGTCACTTTTGGACTCTCTCTTTGCTTAGAGGACCCCTTTCAATATTTCTTGTAGGGCTGGGGTTTGGTGATTGCAAATTCTTTAGTTTCTGTTTGTCCTGGAGGCTTTTTTATCGCTCCTATTTTCTTTTTTTTTTTTTTTAAGATTTTATTTATTTATTTGAGAGAGAGAGAATGAGAGAGAGCACATGAGAGTGGGGAGGGTCAGAGGGAGAAGCAGACTCCCTGCCGAGCAGGGAGCCCGATGCAGGACTCGATCCAGGGACTCCAGGATCATGACCTGAGCCGAAGGCAGTCGCTTAACCAACTGAGCCACCCAGGCGCCCCACTCCTATTTTCAGTGACAGCCTAGCTAGGTAAAGTTTTCTTGGCTGCATAGTTTTCTCGTTTATTACCCTGAATATATCATGCCAGTCCTTCCTGGCCTGCCAGGTCTCTGTGAATAGGTCTGCTGCCAGTCTAATGTTTCTCCCATTGTAGGTTACAGACCTCTTGTCCCAAGCTGCTTTTTCAGTATTTTCTCTTTGTCTCTGAGATTTGTAAGTTTTACTATTAAATGTTAGGGTGTTGACCTATTTTATTGATTTTTGAGGGGGATTTTCTGTGCCTCCTGGATGTTGATGCCTGTTTCCTTCCCCAAATTAGGGAAGTTCTCCCCTATAATTTGCTCCAGTATACCTTCTGCCCCTCTCTCTCTTCTTTTGGGATCCCAATTATTTTAATATTGTTTTGCTTTATGGTATTACTTATCTCTCAAATTCTCCCCTCATAATCCAGTAGTTTTTTTTTTTTTAAAGATTTTATTTATTGACAGAGAGACAGCGAGAGAGGGAACACAAGCAGGGGGAGTGGGAGAGGGAGAAGCAGGCTTCCTGCCAAGCAGAGAGCCCGATGTGGGGCTGGATGCCAGGACCCTGGGATCATGACCTGAGCCGAAGGCAGACGCTTAACCGACTGAGCCACCCAGGCACCCCTCAGTAGTTGTTTATCTCTCTTTTTCTCAGCTTCTTTATTCTCCATCATTTGGTCTTCTATATCACTAATTCTCTCTTCTGCCTCATTTATCCTGGCAGTTAGAGCCTCCATTTTTGATTGCACCTCATTAATAGCCTTTTTGATTTCAACTTGGTTATATTTTATTTCTCCAGAAAGGGATTCTCTAGTTTCTTCTATGCTTTTTTCAAGCTCAGCTAGTATCTTTATAATCGTTATTCTGAACTCTAGTTTTGACATCTTACTAATGTCCATATTGATTAGGTCCTTGGCAGTCGGTACTGCCTCTTGTTCTTTTTTTTGAGGTTGAATTTTTCTGTTTTGTCATTTTGTCCAGAGAAGAATAGATGAACAGGAGAACAAAATGCTAAAAGGGTAACAATGACCCCAGAGAAATATACACTAAACAAATCAGAAGAGACCCAAAACCAGGATGGAGGGGAAGAAAAAGAAATATGATCAGGCTGGTGAATAGAACAGAGCCATACACTAGATTTTGGGTGTATTTTGGTCTGTTAGAAGAAACTGCAACTCAGAAGAATGAAACTGGACCATTTCCTTACACCACACACAAAAATAGACTCAAAATGGATGAAAGACCTAAATGTGAGACAGGAATCCATCAAAATCCTAGAGGAGAACACAGGCAGCAACCTCTTCGACCTCAGCCACAACAACTTCTTCCTAGACACATCGCCAAAGGCAAGGGAAGCAAGGGCAAAAATGAACTATGGGGACTTCATCAAGATAAAAAAGCTTTTGCACAGCAAAGGAAACAGTCAACAAAACCAAAAGACAACGAACAGAATGGGAGAAGATATTTGTAAATATCATATCAGATAAAGGGCTAGTATCCAAAATCTATAAAGAACTTATCAAACTCAACACCCAAGGAACAAATAATCCACTCAAGAAATGGGCAGAAGACATGACGATACATTTCTGCGAAGAAGACATCCAAATAGTCAACAGACACATGAAAAAGTGCTCAACGTTGCTCGGCATCAGGGAAATACAAATCAAAACCTCAATGAGATATTACCTCACACCAGTAAAATGGGTAAAATTAACAAGTCAGGAAACAACAGATGTTGGCGGGGATGCAGAGAAAGGGGAACCCTCCTACACTGTTGGTGGAAATGCAAGCTGGTGCAGCCACTGTGGAAAACAGTATGGAGGTTCTTCAAAAAGTTGAAAATAGAGCTACCATACGATCCAGCAATTGTATTACTGGGTATTTACCCGAAAGATACAAATGTAGTGATCCTAGGGGTACATGCACCCCAATGTTTATAGCAGCAATGTTCACAATAGCCAAACTATGGAAAGAGCCAAGATGTCCATCAACAGAAGGGAGGGTATGTGCTATCATGAGCGCTGTGAATTGTGTAAGACTGCTGAATCACAGACCTGTACCTCTGAAACAAATAATACATTATATGTTAAAAAAAAAAAAAAAGATCATAGGAAGGGAAAAATGAAGGGGGAGAAATCGGAGGGGGAGACGAACCATGAGAGATTATGGACTCTGAGAAACAAACTGAGGGTTTTAAAGGTGGGGTGGTGGGGGGATGGGTTAGCCTGGTGATGGGTATTAAGGAGGGTATGTATTGAATGGAGCACTGGGTGTTATACGCAAACAATGAAGCATGGAACACTACATCAGAAACTAATGATGTAATGTATGGTGACTAATATAACAAAATAAAATTAAATAAAAAAGAAACTGCATCCTGAAATTTTAAAGAAAGAAAAAAATATATATATGTTATATATAAGGTTAAATAAGGTTAAATACAATGAAGGGATAGAATATGACTATAAAAATGAAAATTAAAAAAGATTTTAAAAAGGAATCAATAAGATAAGTTGGTTGAAAAAGAAAGAAAAAAAATTAAAACAAACAAACAGAATGTTATCGGGCGGGTGAATAGAACAGAGCCATACACTAGATTTTGGGTATATTTTGGTCTGTTAGAAGAAACTGCATCCCAAAATTTTAAAGAAAGAGAAACTTATATATATACAAAAAATAAGGTTAAATGCAATGAAAGGATAGAATATGACTATAAAAATGAAAATTAAAAAATATTTTAAGAAAGGAATTGGTAAGTTGCTTGAAAAAGGAAAGAAGAAAAATTAAAAAAAAAAAAGAAAATTAAAAAAATTAAAGTTGAAAGACTAAAGAATCATGGGGAAAAAAGCCATGAATTCTATGTGCTATATTCCCCTAGCACTGGAGTTTTGCAATTCTCACAAGTTTCCTTTTTAACTATTTGGAAATAACTTCAAATTTTCAGAAATTTCAAGAATTGCACAAAGAACTATGTACACTTTACCCAG